TGGACAAAGCACAAGCAAAAGGTGGTCATGCAAACTGCCGCCAACACCTGGCCCACGCCCAACCTGCAGGTAAGTCAACCGTCTCACAACCCCTCCTTCCTTTTTTGCGTCTTGAGTACGGTCACACGGTTACCAGCCACCGCTCAGACCGTGATTGGCCCGCCTCAGATAAGCAACGCACCAGCTAGCAGGTAGACTATCGCCTCCACGACCATGGTCATCCACTTACCCGCAGCTACAACCCACCGAAACAGTCAGTATAGGCAACGGCAGATGGGAATAGCGTGGTACGAGGTTGACAAAATAGTAGGTGGAGGCGGTGGGATCAATAGCAGATCTATAGTAGCTCGTAGCTGGCTGTAGCCGACTGCCTCAGTCGGCAGTTAGTCGAGACACACAGCAGTGTTAGCCACAATACTGCAGTCCAGGGCTTGGTCGCCCGCTACCTCAATCTGGCAAAGAGGTCAATGCGCAGCCAGACTCCTCACCACCGAGCTTACTCCCTCAAATGATAAGGATGGCGCCTCCATCCAGTGACCTAGCTTACGTTGTCTCCAGCTGCAGAAGGTTAAAACCAAACGAGTTTGCCCCTTGGATATGAAAACATACGCTGCTACGACGCTGCTCCTCCTCTGCGCTCGCTGCCCACCTCACCAAATAAGGATCTCAATCCTTTAATCCTCTTATTATTATCGCGTCTCTTTATCCCACTACGGTGTTATTCTAGTGATGGAAGTACCTGACCATTATTACGACCAGGTTCAGCCTCATACAGTCAGGCCCCCTCCCCAACTCTACTTACTCCGTCTCGTCGCACCTACTCTACCTACTGCTGCACCCACTACGACAAGTCGGATGAATCTTTCGTTAGAATGCAGCCAGATACATCCCTACAACAAGGTGCCTCCCTCCTTCGACCGATAGGCTGAGCAACGGAAACCTCAACTAGTAAGTCTCCAACCCCCTGTCCGCTCTTACATCGATCGTTTAGGTGAGTAGAAATCTGAATGAACCTTTCCCCTGAAACCAGGTAGATTCATCTTTCCCTCTGTCGTCCTTCCCACACGCAACTAGCAACCCTCATAGTGCAAAGCCTATTCTCTTTTTGCGAAATCGGACCGCGTCATTGGTTTCGCAGCACCTCCAAACCCCAATTTCGGCTCCTTCCTTACCCGATTTTGCTCAGAGATGAGCGAGACACCCCATCTTCCATCTCCTTCCTGCCCTGCTTCCGCTATATCTCGCGCACAAATTTCTCTCTCTATCTCTATATCTACTAATCGAGCACTAAAACTGACACTACCATCATATTCGCAAGGCCCTAATACCCCCATTCAACACCTCCCTTCGCCCATTTTAGGCAGGGATCGAGCGGGTTTTGTGTTCTCGACCACGCCCCGACCGTCTTCCCTCTTCTCCGCCATCTCCCTTTCCGCCCGCATCTGGTGCCAAACCCCCGCCAGGTTCACTCAACCTCCTTCACTGCTCGTTGCCCGTCACTACCCGTTGTCGCCGTACTCCCTCTCTCCTTAATGCGCTGTCCACCACAGTGGCCGGCTATACAGCGTCGGACCTTCTCTCCGCCATGCCCACTATCGAGCGTACCTGGCGTACCACCGGGCCAGGTTCATTTCGCCGCCCCCTTTCAGCGCTTGTCACTTTTCTGCGCCCGCTCACTGCTGCCCGTTCCTGTTGATCTCTATTACTATCCGGCTGCTCACATCGGCCTCGGATCCGACACTACGACTGATTCCCCCAAGCAATAGGGCGTGGTCCTACAGCTGCGCTCTACCCCGCTCATCAACCCCTGCCACTCTGAGGAAAACTCCGGCGGGTACCAACAACTGGACGGTCCGAGCAGCCTTTTGCCCCTATGCCCAAGTCCGACGAACGATTTGCACGTCAGTATCGTTGCATGCCTCCACCTTGGCGTCAGTCCGCCCACTGCCTTTGATTCGGGTCGTTCTCCGCTGCTGCCCGGCCTGTCCGTACCCAGCACAGCCCGTGGTCCGACAGCCCCACCGCTTTGCTTTCCACCGTGTGGTCCGACAGCACCCACCTCTCAGAAAACTCTGGCTGTCGGCCGGCCCTTGTTTTATAGCCTTTACCGGTGTCGAGGCCCCACGCCAATCTTCTCTGTATCGTTCCAATTTTAACGGATATCCCGAAGGACTTAGCCGCGGTGGTACCCCCACCTGCGTTTTTTTTTTTAAATGTGGACTGCCAGTCGAGGTACCGCACCTTGAACCAAAACGGGACCGCAAATACCAGTAGAAGTAAATAGTTAAATATAGAAAAAGCAAGATAAAATAMATTATYATAAAGTAGAAATCCCTAAGCAGGGTGCGGGGACTGCTAAGCCCCRYCGGTCCCGTTGACCGGGCCTGTCGCCGCGCTTATCAACAAAACCGAAGGGGGATAGCCCCGTCGGCCCCTCAACCCCTCGGTTTTCTCCTCGATGCTCTGCTGCCACCGCGCCGACGTCTACCGGCCTCGATCCCCGACCCTCCGTTGTAATAGTCCGATGTCGTAACCTATAGGGCTAAGCCCAAACCTGAGACCCACGTCTGCAGAGTACCATACAAGATGGTGCGGCAAGGCGCTTTGGGCCAACAAACTGGTTGCGTGGCTCCCAATGCCCATGCCGGCTTGCTTATACCATGCCATAATTGCCCCGCGCGCCATCCTACGACATCCCGTTCACCTCACAAAATCGCGCCGTTATTGCCGATGCCATCGTCGGGGTCGTTCTCCCCATGCTCGCTCGACCCGGTCAAATGTACCTAATCAAAAAGAAAATATCCTTAATTCCTGCTTAATAAAAAATAAATAAATAATAAGTAATATCGCCAAGCACAACGACCGAGGTCCGGACCGGTTTTTACGATCAACGACAGGAAAGAATCACGCGCGCCTTAAACCTGCGCACCCACTCACTCGTTATTGTGGTGAACCACCCAGTCAACGCAATTACAGACGCAGTCGTGCTTAGTGCGTTATACTTAAACACTAAACCAAAACTATTTTCTGTTACTTACAAAAAACAGGGCGGATACCCTTATAAGGGTATTCGCACCGACAGCTTACCGGACCATATTAAGCGACTCCCCGTCGCTTCGCCAAATCAGAAGGCTATAAATCCATCCATATTCCAAATGCTGACGAAACAGGAGCCAATCTGATTAGTTGACAAACACAGGGTAGAGGCCTCCATCAAACCATGTCTTCACAACTATATGCTGCCAGGTTTCTAACCTGGGCCTCTCACCGTCCAGAAATTAGGACACTGGAGGCATAAGTTCCAAAGACCTTTCCAATCGACCTCTGCCCGGTCCTAGACAACCTTCGGCTTTTCGTTGGGTGTCCCCAGTCCTGGCAAAAACTAGGGACGCGGGCCTTAATTGAGACCTTTTGAAGCCACTCTCGCCTTCCTTCTCAAAAATTTCTCGCAATCAAATACACGCAAATATATATGTATACTTAATATTTGCTCAGCTCTTTCTGCAGTCTAGTACAGAAAGGCTAGGTCTCCACCTTGGCCCACCATAGCCTGGCTGATCGGACCAGGACCACGGCCCACTGCATTGTTATTTAACGGCAGTAACCTCGTCGGTTACGCAACGATAAGTTTTCTCCTGATAAGTATTCAATCAGGATTCTCCAAAAAATTCTCAACCATCACTATCCCGCTGAGTAATTTCACTGGGGCGGGCACCCCCCTTAAACTCTTACCCCGCGGTCCCGCAACCAGGTTGCGCCGGCTAGCAGCCATCCAATGGGGTTACGCCCCAGAGGTACTAACTTTTTTTCCGTTAGCTTGACCTTTCTTCAATATGTCCCAGAACTAGCACAAGTGGTTAGGCGGGGCATCGCAAAACAAAATCACAGGCCTACTGCGCGACACGCAGGGGTCCGAAGGCATTTATCAGTCCTTCCACAGTAGGCCTGACACCCTTCGCACGCTCACAAACAGAATCACCGCTAGGTCCACCAGGCCGTAACCCCTGACTTGATCAGAGCCAGCAGCCACCCGTCCTGAGGCGTCTCTCGCCCTGCACCCACTGCGACTTTCTCAAACATTCCAACAAAAGGTGGCCCTTTCCGTCAGACTTTATCACCCATCAAACAATTCGTCATGCCATAAATCAATTTACTCACTTCTGATGGTGAGTCTTCCAACCATAAACCACTCTCCTTTTTCAAAAATCCAAAGGGACTCTCATCATAAACAACCCCCCCCCCCCTTTCCAAAAAAATCACAAGGGGTCTCGCCACAGAACAAAACACCCCCTCTCCCAAACATCATGAGGGGTCTCATCATAATATACAGCATCACAAAACATTCCTTTTTTCAAAATATAAGGGGGCTTATTATAAAGCAAACATCACTGAGAGACCATCTTATGAGTCCTCACCACAACTTAAGCAGTTAGTAGTCAACGTGGTAAGCATTCTGAGCCTCCAGGGCTCATAAGTCTTCAAAATTATCACAACCTTTCACAGATTGATTGCACTATCTCCCCTTATACTCTGCCTTATCAGCTGCCCGTGGACAGATCGCACAAGTATACCGAGGAGTAGACAGTTTTACTTATAATCATACTCATAGTACCCATGACACATAAAATGTTTTTCACCCCTTGTCCACACAAACTCATCATACATCATAGTACAATCACTCATGTGAGAGCGACAAGTGATCGTCATATATAAAAATGGTCCCTGAAATAAAACCTCATCATAATATACACTCAGGGAAATAAAAATGTCTCACACAGAAAAAACGTCTCCAAATCATAGTTCACTCAACTCAAACCACACCAAACTCACTCTGACAATTATCCCTAAAATACATGTCAGATCTGTCTCTCAAGGTCAGGGCGTAGGCCACCTAAATATGTACATGCCTCGTCTAAATCACCCTGATCCTCAAGACCCCAGCTCAGTAGGAACACTAGAGTTCAGATCTAGACTAATAGCAATCAACAAAAATGTCCTCTAGGTCTAAGAGGGTATCACACAGAACCTAAGCTGATGCCTCACAAGATACTCGCCCACTTACATAAAAAACCGGTCCTATCTCCTCAACTCCTCCTGGTTTTGCCTATATAACTGAGCCCTCAGTCCATCTGCGGACTTCTCTACTATCCTACCCTGCCTATCATACATCTTACCCCCTGCCTCTGAGACCTTTCCTTCTGCCTTATCCTCAAGGAACTCGAGACTGTCCAAAGCTAGATGCACGCCCCTCTTGCAACAGAAGCATAACTGATCAACCTTCCTCTTGAACTTCTTCTTCTTGGGTTGAGGAGGTGACGATGAAGAAGATCCTACCAAGGTACTGACAACCCCCTGCTGCTCTGATCGAGGAGCTGCGATACTAACGACCTCCTGCTGCTCTGTCCAAGGAACCGGTCTCCCAGACCCATATCCTATAGCCCAAGACCCCAGTCTGCTCCTCAAATCCCCTGTCACCGAGACGTATTCAGGCGTGTCCAACCTCTGAGGTCTCCTCTCGAGTGTCTCTCCTGGCACTGCCATGGGCTGCTCCTCAATCTCCTCTGGCCCATACTCAGGCGTGCCCATCCTCTGGAGCCCGCTCTCGATGGTACCCTCTGCCTCAATCCCTATCTCTTTCTCAAGAGGCTCCTCTATCCTCTGCTCAGGTGAAAACAAACTCACCTCCTTCTGCATAGTATGCACCGCCTCAAGGAGCACGTCCATGGATCCCTCTGCTGAGCCCTGAGCCGGCTCACTGCTAGATGGTGGTAGCCCCTCCTCTACTGCTAAAGGTACGACTGGGCCTGCCGCCGCCACTAGCAATGTCGCGAGCTCGGTAGGAACTCTGAACTCGAATGCCTCCCTCTCCGCCTGTCTCTGTGCTTTCGCCTTCCCTGGCTCCAGGATAACCCTCCCCATAGGTGGCTCCTGACGACGCTCTGCCGCAGATGGCTATCCTGGTAATCCACGTCCTGGTTGCCTCTGCTCTCCCTGCCTGCTGCTCTTTGGCTTGTCTACCTTTCCCTGGGTTTGCTGCCTCAGGCTCTCAATGATAGCTGCCAGACTGGCTACCAATGCCCTAAGTTCCTGAATTTCCACCTCCATAGCCTCCAGGCGTACTCCATGACTTGCTTCCTTCATCTTCTTCCCTGCCAGATCGCCCTCCAATAACAAGTGCCGGTCAAAAGTTGTCTTGGCCAAGAACTTGATTTTGCGATCTAACCTCTCTTTCGCCCTCCTGGCCACTCCAAACCCGGCTCTGACTGGCGAGGGAAGCTCCTCTCCTCTTCGCTCCCAGAAGTCTCTCCACATCTCTGGAATCTCCGGAGCCCTAGCTGGTGAGCTGGGTGGCTGACCTGGGAGTGCTCCTGCTGCCTCCGATCTCTGCCTCTCCTGCTGCTGCTCCGGAAGCTCCCCCGCTGCCTCCAACCTTTGCCTCTCCTGCCATATCTCATCTATCCACCTGGTTCTTCTCGCCCTCTTTTCTTCAGTCGTTTCTCCAGCTGGCGCCCTTTCCCTCGTGCGGAGGTCGATCCTCTTTGGGATCTCTGCTTCCATCTCCTTCTCGGGCTGGCACGGCTTCTGGCGCGGCTCTGCAGGTGCTGGCTCCTCCAGGTCTGGGTGCTCCAGGGCATGAGCTGCTAGGTGTTTGTCAATCAGGATCAAGGTTTCTCTCCTTACAGCTGCCCTCTCCCTCCTCCTTTCTGCCCTCCCTTCTAGCGAAGGGGCCTTTTCTGATGAAGGTAATGGAGCCTCCTCTCTCTGCATCCTTTCCTCCGCCTGGCGAGTGCTTCCTGGTGCATCCCCGAGTCTCAAGCCCATTGCTGGCATCTGTGGGGGCGTGTCCTCTCCAACCTCTATCACTTCCTTCCCTGCACGTCTCCCCACATCGCCCAACCCTCTCTCCTGCTGAGTATCCTGGACCTCCTCCCGTGACACCTCCTCTCGTGGCTCCTCCTCTCGTGGCACCTCCTCTGCCTGCTCTCCATGCTCCTCACCCTGAGGCGACGCTCTCCACTGAGAAATATCCAGATGCATTTCCAACTCCCTCAAAGGCCCCTCAGACACTGGCGGCCCCTCCTGTGTGTGTGCTGGCGACCTCCTCAATCCACCTTCAGTAAAACGATGAAACTTCACTGGTCCCAACCCACACTCAGGGTATGCCCCTCGCTCCTCAACCTCTGGCTCCTGCTATGGCTCCTCCTTTCTCCTGGCTAGGGCCTTCCGTCCTCCTCGAGACGGTCTCACTTCCCTGGGCTCAGGGTCCCACGGCCTCTCACTCCTCTGACGCCTCTCGACTCTGGGCTGGGGGGGGCTCTGGCCGTCGAAAGACCTCTCTCAGATGTGCCCTCTAGCTCTCCCAGTCCCGGGCCATGTCTCTGATTTGGCTAGCCAGCGGCCTTTCCGCCTTCCTGGTCCAGAGTGGTAGCGTCTGCATCCAATCATCTCTCGGTATGCCCTGCCCCTGCATGAACCACTCAAACGCGGGGATGAAGTCTGACGTATTTCCAATCTCCAGGCGGATCGGCCTGCCATCTGGTCCCACCGGCGAGGGTCGCAACTCCTCCATCCTCATCTCCACCTCTTGCCTCGTCGTCGCCTCTCTACGGATCCGCGCGGCGGGCTCCTCGAATCTGCCGACTCCCCTCAGTCTCTCGATCGCCTGGGCCACGGTCCAGCCCATACACCTCGCATGATCCCAAAAGTTGTCCAGGAATAGCTCGATGTCCCCATCATCGTATACCGGAGTACTCTCTCAATGGCGAGGCCCATGTCGCTCATATCCTCCTGATGCTCCCAACGGCCTCCGAGGCGGCCGTGTCCCCCTCCCTCCTCTTGGCATGGCTGTCTTCGTAAAGTCAGACCTGCACAACAGGCGAAGGAGACAGCAGGCACATATTGGGGTAAGCAAACAGGTGATAATCAAGCAAACTCAGACCAGACCATACTCATACAGCATGCATCCTACCTAACCTACACACCCTGCTACTTTTATTCTAAAGGCAGTCAGGTCGTCTCTCTTACCTCTTCTCTCACCACGAATTTCTTCAGTCGCGTTCCAGATACCCAATCCTTCTACTCAGTCCCATTTAGCTCCTCAATCTGGTACGCCCTGAAGTCTCCGACCCGTACGACCCGGTAGGGACCTAACCACCTCTTATCGAGCTTCCTGGACCACTGCTTCTCCAGCGATGAATCGTAGAGAAGCAAGACATCTCCGACTGCCAAGGGTACTTTCCTCACCCGTGCCGACTGATCCCAAGACATCCATATGGCTTCTCGCCACCTGATCAGACGCCTCCTGGATTCTTTCTTCTATTGCCCCAATCTGTCGTGCCCGAATATCGAGCAACTCTTCAAATGACAAGTTAACTTCCAGATCCTGACGCCTCCATGTCTTAAGAAAGCTCTCGATAGGGAAGGTGGCGTGCCTTCTATACCACAGCATCGCCGGTGCGTACTTGGTGGATCTTTTTATTGTAATGTTCTCTACAAAGAAAGTCGCCCTTAGGTATCTTGGCCATTGATTAGGCCTACTTTCGGTCCACTTAGCTAGGAGACTCGTAATGGTACTATGTCCTCTCTCCACGGGAGCATTTGCCTGGGGGTGCGCGGTCGTGGTGTAGTTGGCTGCCACACCATACCTTGATAACAATTATTGCACCTCCTGGCAGGTAAACTCTGATCCCCTGTCCATTACGAATTCCCTGACGAAAAGATAGCGTAGGTAATACTCCTCGATGCAGCTCACCAGGACTGACCCGGTCTTTGTGCGAATAGCACGCCCGTCTATGAACCCAGACAGGTTATCGCGCGCATCGAAGATGTAGTTATAGCCCTGATCCCCAAGCGGCATAAAAAGCAAATCGAGATGCACTACGGCCCCCACCTCTCGCTCTAGCCTTGGATGCAGCGGCTCTCCTTGCCTTAAACGGGATCTTTCCTGGCAAGGTACGCAAGATCGGCAGAACTTCCCGACCATATCCATCATCCCATCCCAGTAGTACAACTCACTTATCTTGGCATACGTGGCTTGTACCCCTTGATGCCCTCCTGCAATGCCATCGTGAAGCGCTGCTACAACGTCGATCTGACGATTCCTACCGCAGACGACTCTCCTGGGTTTCCCCACTTCTCTTCTCACGAAAAGGTGACCGTCTCGCACTAAGTAGTGCTGCAGCATCCTCTAAGCCCTATCGCTTGCATCCCTTAGCCGCATTTCACATGACAGAAGAAGCCCCAGCTCTAGGTAGATCCCATCGTACTCCTCTGCATGAAAGACCTCCTTAATTTCCCCTTCCTCAAACTCGTCGTCCTGGCTCTCGGACACTTCGTCCACATTCCCTGCCAGGTTCAACGAGCCTGACTGGTCTAGGCTTTCCTGCAATAACGTATTGACGAGGAGATACATTCCTCCCATCAAGTCCTCATGTCGTTCTACCTGGCCAGGTCCTTCCTCAATCGACCTCAAATCCTCCACCAGGCTATGCAAGCTGGCCAGCGTTAGTTTCATCATCCACTGAACATCCTTACCACCCCAGGGATCCTCTTCCTCAAAGGGCTTAAGGACTAACTCATCCCTCCATTCATACCCACTTGGCGTTTGCCACATAGGATAGCCTACACAGCTGGGCATTCGCGGCGACCACTTATTGATGTGGAGACTAACATCTTCTTCCTGATCTACAAATCCATCAACTGGGGGCGTATTCTCCACCGCCTCCCCTTCCTGTTTATCCCAGTTGATCCTACTCAGCCCGTCCGCCCGGTTCTTACTGCCAGGTATCCGTTCCAATTCGAAATTGAACATCCAGATGTACGTCAGCCATCTCTGGCAACCGTCGGATCCGATGGGACGTAATTCCTTAGAGAGTAGGCCAGGGCGGTCGGATCCACTCTCAAAATAAACCTCCTGCTGAAGATGTAGTTCCGAAAGATTCGCAGACAATGGAGGACGGCAAGGGTCTCCCTCTTGAACTGAGAGTAGTTCCTCTCCGTCGTACACAGAGTCCGGCTCTCTCAAATTGCAAGGGTCTTTCCTTTCCTTCCATGTCTGCCTGAATTAGAACTCCCCCTAAAGCAGTCGGCCCCGCATCCGTTTCGACAATGAAGGGTCGCGTCTCTGTGGCGTCATAATCTGGCGCTCCTAACACCAACCCTCCTTCTCGAAATTCTTCCTTCATTCTGGCTACCACCTCTTCTTGTTATTCACCCCAAACCCATTCCTGGTCCTGATGAACTAACTTCTTCGGACGTTCAGTCTTAGCGGCAAAATTCTTGACGAAGGCCCTCCAAAATCTACACGTACCAAGGAAGCTTCTGACATCAGTTACTGAGTGAAACGGAACTGGCCACTAAGTAATCTTGTCTGTCTTCTTCACATCCGGCCTCCGACCCTTCTTGTTGCAGACGAACCCCAAAATAGTCGCTTCCCTCATGCAGTGTCTGGATTTGGCCCCGCTCGCCGTGAGGTTATGCTCCTTGAGCAGGCTCAGGACTTTTTCGAGGTCCTGGATATGCTCCCAAACAAAGCGCCTTACCCCTGGCGAGACTTCATCGCTCTCCTTCATTGCCGGCCCCTTCACCGCCAAATCGTCGATGTATGGTTGTGTAATATGGGGGCTGACTGACTGTATAACCCGAATCATGGTCCGTTGGACCATTGCGGTAGCAATGGTCCACCCTTGAGGGGCCACGTTCATGTGGATTAATCCTCGCGCCGTATGCATAGTCGTCACCGGCCTATCCGGCGGGTAGACCGAAAACTGATCGTATCCTGAGTAAAGGTCTATAAGTGAAATTATAGGCCTTCCAGCACAGGATTCTGACAAAGCATCCGCATTTGGCAGTCCTCCAGCATCTCGCACGGTCACCTCATTTAACCTTTGTAGATCTTGCACTCATCGCAGCGTCCTGTTAGGCTTAATGAAGCAAAACCACGGGGACCCATACGGTCCACTAGAATAGTCGGCGACGTGCGTATGTATTTTGTCGTGGAGGTAATTCACCACCTTCCTTTCCTCGTTAGGATTGGGGTATCACGCCCCTCTCATGTTCCAAGGCTCGTGTGGCACGGTGTAGATGCGGATCATAGGTATCTTGTCCACATCCAGCCTGTCACGCTCCTCGTCACTAAAGGCATAGGCACGATGCCTCCTCTTCATCAATTCCACCAACAATGTTCGCTCTTGAGGCAGTAGGAAGTCGGGCTCCCCTATAATCAACTCCCCTTCATTCTCTTCGTTGATACGACATGGTCCTGCTAAAGCACTCTCCCTCATTCGCTGTATCAGCCCTCGTTCTCTTTCGTAATATGCTTCCTCGTCTTCTGTAACGAGGACGGGAACCGGGCGGCACTTCTTGTCTACCGTCTTGTACCGCCTTTGGGAACCCTGCTTGAGCCGTCCCCTAAAAAAGGCCGACTCACAGATTGCGTTTGTGCTGATGCGGGGTTCCCTCCACTGCCTGGGAGCCGATATACCAATTTCAACCTTCCTGCCTCGGGGCATTCCAAAACTTGCTCCCTCAAAGCCTGGATGGCATCCGGATCTGCCATCTCATGCGCGGCCACCAAGTCCATGGCCTTCCCAATATCTGACAGGCTGAGGGAAAATGCTTCCACCCTCTCTCCTGCTTCGGACTCTGCCCAGAGCCTCCGGCGCTCTCCTTCCGATTCCTCGATCGTAAATGACCCTGGATTGGGCCGGTTCCTTATACTCCTTGGCCCGGTGTTCCTGTAGGTAATTATTTCGTAATTCCCTCAGGCAGGATCGCATAAGAGAAGAATTAGAGTCCCGTCATGTTTGTTGAACATCGCGATCTCCGTCCTGCTTAGGAATGACCTCCCTAGGAGGATTCCATGGTCCACGTCCGGCATTATGAAGAAGCAAGCCCGGACCTTCACCTTTCCAACCTCGATGAGTACATTCGAGGTTGTCCCACAAAAAACGGCCTTGCATCTGGCTCCGTGCAGAATACCGCAGTCAGAACGGTCTATATCCAGCCCGAATCTGATTGCGTCCGCCTCCCGAATGATGTTCATTTCGGCCCCGGTGTCCACCATTGCCGCACACTTGGAGCCCTTCACCACCAAATCCACCGTGCCGCAGGCTACACACTTCCAGTCCATTTTTATCCCCGACTCTGCCCACTCTGCCTCCTTGGGCAGGATCGTACCCAGATGGACATTGGGCACCAAGCGCCGCGACAACCTCTCTTTCAATTCATCGCGGAGTCGCGGGGCTGACGCGAGGATCTCCTTCAGGGTCATGAGATCGTTATGCCCTTCTAGCAGTCAGTCGATTACTTTCTCCACGTCAAACCCTTCCTCCAATCGAACCGCGTACTTCTTCTTTTTGGGTGGTCCGTCATGTATGACCGGTTCGGTCTCTCCCCTGGTTTCCTTTTTCCTCGCCCGCTACTCCGTTCTCTGATCCTCTTCTCTGCACAGCCTCTCGTCCTTTTCCTCTTCATCATCGTCGTCCTCTACTTCCACAACCTCTTTCCTTCTCCCTGATTCGGGTTCTCTCCTCGGAGGCTCTTGGCTGGCACTGGCCTTGGCTTGATTCCTCGTTCGCGCTGCCTGTGCCAGCCAGGCCTGCGCAGTGAGGGGTCTTCCCCTCATTCCCGATTGTGGGCACGACCCCACCATATTTACTCCGGGTCGCCCAGGTGCTGACTCCGGGCCGGATTCATAGAGGAACACTTTGGGGATATTAGACTTTCATCCCTTCACTTCCTCACAGAGGCCCACCAACTTCTGTTGGTACCTCCCCATCTTATCCAGCAGGTCCTCCATCTTCCCAAGTAAGACGGACGGAGGCTCCATTCTTTCATCCTCATCCTCGTCATCTGACTCGATGATTATGGGTTTTTCCGTCTTACTTCCTCCTCGTAGCCCTTGAGTCACTTCCTCATCGCTCTCCACTTCCTCCACCCCAATCGGTGGTTCCTCCTTTTCCTGTCATAGCCTTAACATGGCAGGGGGTGGTGGTCCAGCTGCCGCCCTTCGCTGGGCTTCCACCCTCACCCCTCCAAGCCTTCTGTCAATGGCCTCCCCAAAGAAATCGTAGATATTCCCATCCATAGTGGAGAAAATCGGCCCGCTCCTCTCATCTTCCCGTCTTATACTACAGAACCTTATAGTGTGGCCTTGTTGGTCACAATGTTGACAGATGGTCGTCCTCCAATCAAAACGGGGTCTTCCATACCCCTGACTTCCCCGATCCCCCTGGCCTTGATACCCCTGGCCTTGATACCCCTGGCCTTGGTACCCCTGACCTTGGTACCCCTGACCTTGACTCTCTTGGCCTTGGTACCCCTGGCCTTGATTCCCCTGGCCTTGGTACCCCTCGCCTTGACCATTCCATTGCCTCCATCTTCCGCCGTCATTCCTGCCTCGCCCCCTTCCTCCACCCCTCCCTCCGTTGCCTTGATTGCCTTGCCCCTGGTTCCCACCTCCTGCCACACTGCCCTGTGAACTAGGAGCAGGTGACGKCGGCGGGGCCACAGGCTAGGCATGGGTTGCGGGGTAGATGGGCAGTGGCATACTCGTTTGTTGTCCGGCTACTGGCGGCGTGCTTCCTCATGGCACAATTGCATTGATCACCGGCCAGGGCCACTGTCCGTAGGAGGGCGCCCCACCTTGCGAGGGGCCCGTACTAGATGATGGAGCCGCCACATTTAAAGGGGCTCCTACCTGGGCCTGAGGCGCCTGCGCTTTTCATGATCCTTGTCCGCCCTGCGCCAAATTACGCACTTTGCGCTGGACCTTCGTCAGGTGCTGCGGCACCGGCTCTTCCTCTTCCCAGAGCTCCTCCTGAACAGCCTCCTCTATCACTGGCTCCTTTCCTTTCACTTTGACAGCCGTCACCACCCTCCTTTGCACCACCAGCTCCGTCGCATACCCTAGCTGTGCCAATACGTCTGTAACAATCCTTGTTACCCCCGGGGTCCCAGAAGCGGTCGCATCTCTTTCCTTTTTCTTCTCCCTTTGCAGGCGTACCTGACGTTGCTCGACCTGGTCCAAACATCCCACTTCCACCCCTCTATCAATGGTGGCCCAGGTGAGCTTGGTGCTACCTCCTCCATGTTTCGTCAACTCGACGACCTCCGATGCCGTCAGTAGCCCCACGAAGATGGCACACTGTGCTTCCTCTAAAATCCCATGGACCTTCCGCGCCTTCTTCTTAAATTATTGAACAAAGACCCCTATCGTCGTAAAATCCTCTTTGTTCATCGCTTCAAGGTCCGTGGTAGTCAACAACCCATCTCCCAGGCGGTATTTCCTCTTCATCCCCTCCTTGAACCTCTCTCAACTACCTTGGGCTGCATCTATGACTTTCTTTACCTCTTGGTGGTAGCTGTGGAGGACATACTGAAGGATGCGTTGAAACTTTACAATGTCTGACCGCCCGGCCAAAGCTTGTTCCACCCGCTCCAGCCATTCCGAGACTCTTTCCCCACAAAAATGGAAAGTATCGACCTTTGGGATATTGCTCGGATTCCTTTCATGTCGGTCGATGGCCGCGATGAGGTCATCGAGTGTCAGGCCCTTCTTGGGTGCACCCGATGCGCTGCCAGTTCCAAGCATCTTGACAGCCTCTTATTTTCAAGTTTCCTGATAAGAGAAAAAAAACAAGCACATTCTCTTATTCAACATTATACCTTGACCGGTCTATTCCATCCATCCTACCTAACCCTTAGTACTTACTTTACCCAAATGTTAACACGATCGTCCCTCATACTTCCTCTACTTG